ATTATTATCACAGAATTCATACAATTCCTCAGTCACCAAGTCTTCTAGAATTTATCCCCCATGCATAATGAGCATTCTTCAGATTCTTATTTTCTTTATCCAAACCCCAAGAGCTCTGCTCTCCTTCCCCATGGAGCAGTGAGACTACTGACCACCCCCTCAATAGGATGAACAAAATTAAGAGTATACTCACAAATAAATAACACTGTAATTATCTCTCTGCTTTCAACCTTGCCTATCTACCCTTCACATTCCTAAATTCATCTACATTCCAAAAATGCAAATCTGTTTATGTCACTCTCCTGTTTGAAAAGCTTCACAGCCTCTTAATGTCTTCAAAATAAATTAAAACTCCCTACCATGGCATAGAAGGACATTCATGGTCGTCTTCTTGCCCATCTTCCTGGCATCCTCTGATGACTCTCCCCACAGTCACCTGGGTTTCTTCGTTCATTACCATTCATGGTAGACTTGCTGTTCCCCGCACACATCATGCCATCATAGACTTTGACACCCTTTCCTGTGCGATCCTTCTCCCTGGAGCACCCAGCCCAGCCTCACCAGCTCCACCCCAACCAGGTTGATGTCTCCTTTGCTTTAAGACCCTGCTCAAGCATCCGTTCTCCTTCAGCGAGTTCCCTAATGGTCTCTCTTCAATAATACGCCACCTGTCACTCCTTTCCCTCCGCCGTGCACCATGAAGGCTACATTTATGAAGGTTTATATTTCTCCTCTGTATTTTTGTAGCACTTCACACATAACTCTCTTCCAGTGCTCTCACACCACATGGGCATCTTTTATTTTCTCACCTTTCTTTCCCTACAAGATCTTTTTGAAGCAAGCCCTATGTTAGTTCATTTTTGTACCGACAGTGCCTAACAATATAGCTGATCCATAGAAGATATTCAATAAATGCAGTTTCAATGAAACAAACAAACAAAGTGATGGAAGGAAGAAAGAAAGTAAATCAAAAGAAAAGTGCTATGGATTGAATGGATCCTCCAAAATTCATATGTTGAAGCCCTAAGCCCAATGCAGTGGTATTTGAAGATACAGCCTTTGGGAGATAAATAGGGTCAGATGAGGTCATGATGGCGGGTCCCTCACAATGGGATTAGAGCCATATAGAAGAAAAGATACCGCAGAGCTTTCCCACTCTCTTTCTCCATGTGCACCGAGGAAAGGCTGTGTGAGCACACAGCAGGAAGGCAGCTGTCTGCAAGCCAAGAAGAGAATCTTCACCAGGAATGGAATTGGCTTGTACCCTGATGTTGGACTTCCAGCTTCCAGAATTGTGTGAAAATGAATGTCTGTTGTTTAAGTCACCCAATAATCTGGGGTATTTCTGCTACTAAAGGCTGAGCTGAAGAAGAAAAGGAAGGAAGAAATAAACGAATGAATGAATGAATAAATTTTTAAAAATCCCAGATGAGTAGGTGAACCAGTGGCTATGCCCCTTGTACACTTTGTAACCAGTGGCTCATGGCTGCAGATGACCGGCCACATAGAGAAATTCAGTCTGTGGTTCTCCTCTCTGCAGAGGTAATTGTCCCCCACCCCAGGGAGTCACGTTATTAACCTTGCCCTCATCAGTACCCCGCGATCTAATCAGAACTAACAGCACAAACAAAGGAGCCATTAAGCAGATGACTGTCTGGATAAAAGACACTTTCTGTCCTTAATTTGAAAATGTTAACCTATGTGGGGACATTAGGGATAAATGTGGGGTTTGTAACATTCATAAAAGCCTAGATTATGAAGAATATTCATCTAAGAAAAACTCCCCAAGATTGAATTAAACAAATAAAAGGGAATACCACATTGCATAGTGGTATCTCAGCTTCCTTGCTTGCTTCTCATCCTGCCTCCCCAGCCCCCCAAGATCCATTCATTCTACCATTCTTGAAGAGATTTTTCTAAAGCTCTCTTTCTTAAACATTTCAATAGCCCCTCATTGCCTTCACAATTCAATGCAATGAACCTATGCTTCATGAACTGGCTTTTACCACCCTAGCCAGAAAAATCACACCGAGCCCTCTCTTAGCTCCTCGCCTTTGATGTGCTTTTCTTTCTATGTGTCACATCTCTCCACCCCCAACCACCCATCCCCTCGTCATGCTCCAGTTCTTTGCTTCCATATCATTCTGCCCAGGAAGCTCTGGCCTCCCAAACCTAGGTTCTTACAACACACCCTCTGTTCCCCTCTAGAAAATGGTCATCCCATGCACTTTATTTGCTCATTTTCCCCATAGGCAAGAAGCTCCTGTAAAGCAGGAGCTACTGTATTACCTGTGCAAGCCACATGGCTGGCAAATGGTAGGTGCTCATTGAGTAATTTGTGTTAAATGGGTGAATGGATAGTAAAGTTCTTGTGAATAGTCCCGAGTCTCATGGCAGCTCTACAGTTCTGTTATTTCACGGCTGGCTGAGCACATTCATACCTCATTATCTCATTTAACTGTTTTAACAGCCCCGGGAAGCATAGCAGGCAATAACCAAAGCCTGCTGACTGTCCACTCTCTAGCTGTGTCCCTTCTCTTCCACATGGGCAGAGCCCTCCTTGTCTTCTAAAGTCTACTCCTCCCCCAGGTAACTAGAATGAGCTCTGATTGGTTTGAGGTAATTGTGGGGGTTGTATCAGCCTGTCTGCTTGGCAAACAAGATTCTGAGGCAAGGCTTAAGTGTGAATATGTCCCTGAAAGGTATGACGTCAGGGCATTAAGAGTCAAGAAAGAACGAACCAGGGAAAGGAAGAATGGGAACTGAATAAAGTTGCTGCTTTCCCTGGATGGCCATCATTTCATGGAGAAACAAAGTTCCTTAGCTACTGGAGGTATCTCCAGACGAGTTCCATCAAAAACCCATGCTTTGGAACAGGCCATTGTAGGAGGAACAGAGGAGAAATCTGTCTACAAGTCCCTGCCCGTTCTCTGCCTTCCACTGGTAAGAGTTTGTCCCATCAAGGAGTAACTGCTGGCCTGGTGTTTACCTGAGTGCAGAAGTGGTGGGAGAAGCCAGAGGCTTAGTGAAATATTGTGGGCTTGCATGGAACCGGCCCAGGGGGCTGCAGCAGCAGCTGCTAACTTCCCAGGGCCCAGGAGACAAGAGAATAGGAGGACATCCACAAGATAAGGCAGATATAGCAGTGCAACAGGGATCAGTTTAAGGACTGCTGACAGAGGGGAAAGGGTATGGAAAAGTTTTTAGAGACACAAAAAAATATACTGCATACTGCATTTCATTGACTGGATGAGTCAGGATGCATGTGACAATAAATAGCTTATCAGAATCAAATTGAGTGTGTGTGTGTGTGTGTGTGTGTGGTGGTATATAAAATAATAGTGCATATTCTATCCAATGACATCCCAGAATCTAAAATACAGCAGGTCCTGTGTTTGTCTTCAGATATTGGTGTATAATTATGTGATACCAGGAGCTACAGCAGCCCTTTTGCAACCATGAGAGGAGCTAATTTTGACTGTCTGAGGACAGCAGAGCAAAAATATGGAAAAGAACCTGGGTCTTTTGAGTGAGGTCTTCTCCCCATGTGACAGATTAAGAAACTGAAGACAGAAAGCTGATATGACTTTTCCAGAGTCACATGGGTGGTTAAACAATGCAGCTGAGACTTTAACCCACGTCCTCAGCATTCTTTCCCATACAACTAGATTCGATGCCCTTCACAACTGGCCTGTTTACAGCTTTATTTGTTAATCTCTTCCCACATGTCTTTCCTAGTCTCCAGTTGTCTGAAATGGTGTTTCCTAAAAGCAGCCTGTTTTTTCATGCTTCTCCAACTTCTAACATTTTTAGAAATTTGGCAAAAAAAAAAAAGTGAAGAATGCTATCCCATTAAAAATTTATTATGGAAAAAGTGCAGAGATCTGGGGCTTTATTGTCAGCCTTTTCAAAAATAAAAATAAAAACTGTATAAAATTTAAGTATCTATCGCCAGTCTTTTAAGGTTTAGTATATGGAAAGCAACACCATCGTTCTTTCAAAACACCTTGATGCCACTGTCAAAATCAGAGGACTGGGCTGCATGCAGATGTGATACACAAGGCATGGAACAGCCAGTACATCAGGAACCCACTCATCAGAAGAGGTCCCTTAGGGCCACGTCCGCCAGTGTGTGCCAGCTGAACGCCATTTTTCAGCCCCAGCTGCATATCCCCGGTCAACCCCAAAGCTCATATTCACAGCTATCCAGTGACTTTTCCCCAAGATGTTTAGACTGGCTGGCTTGTCTCATTCTACTTGTGCTCGCAAGTATTCCAGCTCAGGTAAGTTACCAAATGTCAGAGGAACTTTGAAAAATCAGAAAACAATGTCTCTATAACAAATCAGGCCCCGATCGTTCTGAGATGGGGAAAATAATCTATCCCCAATTTTGCCCATATGACCAAGCATCAGAATAAAAATCCAAATGATCTAGAGACGTTTACTGATGAAGCAGCTTAATGACTTGGTAGATTTCTGCCCAAGAGAAAGGCTTTCAAGAAAAAACCCACGAGGGCATAAAGACTCCTCTGTAGAAACAAAGCAGCTGGTTTTTGCTCGTGGGAACCTCCAGCATTCATCAATCTGCACGTCTGTAAGTAGTCAGGGTGCCACCTTCCATCTTCACCAGGGGAGCTGCACGGCTTGAGGTTCCCAGGTCACAGGGGCGCCCTGCAGGAGCAAGTGCACTAAGACAATATCCCCGGCGTGTCAATCAGCCCGGCATCAACTTAGCAACTGGCTTTGTTCTCCTTATTACACAGGCATCATGTGACACTCCTCCAGCACCTCCCCTTGATGAGAAGAGGAAAACTACATATATTTGGGGAATATCCTTCCAATAAGTGGCTCAGGATGGAAATTAAGCCGACTTTGAGTATTCCAAGGAAGCCTGATGTAGAGAACCTAGTTCATTCATCAGTTTTCTCTCTTCCCACTGTCCCTCTCTCTTAACTGGGGACCTGGGGCTGGAATGCAGCCCCGGCACTCTCCTTATCTGACCTTTCTCCTTGTTCCCTAAGGGTGTGGAATTAAGTAAATATTTGTGTACGTGCACAAGGGGTGCTGCAAACGACCTGTGGAAGGTTCATGAAATCTGGGCTTCTGAGGAGGCAAACAGCAGGTGCTCAGTTTATTACGTTCTAGGCAGAACCAAGGGGGAAAGCGTGAGACCATGATTGTTAAGTGCACTTCGAGTCCTTTGCTGTTTGGGAGCTGCCAAGTGAAGAAATACATTAGTCTTGCTTTTCTACAGCCTCTTCATGAAGTAATCACTTAAATGGGTTTCCAGAGTTCAGGGGAATTGGAAGACCAGCAGTAATAAGAGAAATACCTTGAATTTTCTTCCAAGGCACTCCAAGGACTTTGCTGACATTATTACATTTACCAGCCCTCCCAGGTCCCTGAGCTTCCACCCAAAAAAGATGTCAGCTACATGAGGAAGGAAATCTTCCTTTGCAAACCAGGGAGGGGCGGGGGAAGGAAAGCAGAGGATCTGAAACTCACCAGGTGTGGTTCCTGCAACTTCGGAGGCCAGGATTCTGAAATCCCAGTGCATCCGTGGCTATTCTGAGTAGGTCAGAGCACTCCCTTTAGGAACAGGAAAGGGTGATTACAGCGTTGACCCCCAGATGCCCTCTCTGAAAGGAAAACATTTGGAGGTTGACCGAAATGCCAGCCTCCTCTTTTCCCATGCCTGCTCCCCACAGCTCTGCACACACAACCCTTGGGTAGCTCTGAGCTATTTTGGGCTTCACCCTCATCTGCCTTTCACATTAGGCTCTGCGTTAATTATGACGCTTCAGTGAAAACGAGCCTTCTGACAGTCTCAGGCCTGGAGAATGGAAGGAGGGAGAAAGGCAACTCCAATCACGGGCCGTTAGCACTAATTAACGCCCACCTCCTGTGCTTCGGATTCTAGACACAGTCGCCCCTCCGCTGAGGGGAAGAACGCAGTTCACTCTGTGGCACAGGGAGCGACAGCATTAAGCCAGACACTTGCTGGTCCCCGTGGAACCAGATCTTTCAGGCAAAGAAGCAATTTATATGCAGTAACCAGGAGGAACACGTAATCCTGTGTTTCTCCTTTCAAACTGTCTTTTGACATTCTCAGAGCACATTTTCTCTTAGGGGACAGAGTACAGCCATTTAGAAACCAAAAATGCTTTTCCTTCTCTGGTTCGAGACCCCAAGTCAACCAACCAACCAAATGCATACACATATATATTATATACACACACACGTACACGCAGACACAACACACTCTAATAAGCTCTGCAAGAAATACGAAGGACATAAAATCTGGTTCCTCTTAGAAATACGTCATAAGCACAAACTTCACTACATCACAGTGTCTTCTGGGCAAGAAGTACCTCCCTGCTGCTTTCTGAAGGACCTCGGCAATTAATCCTGTACTGAGTAAACACATGAAGAACGAGGCAGCCATGCAGGCCCCGACCAGAGCCCCACGTACGCCGTTAAGCTGGTCAAGTTCGCACTGACTTCTGCCTCTTGGCCTGTCCGCCCGCCTTCTCTTTCCGACCCGCGGCTTCCAATCCACCCGTTCCCTTCGATGCAGTCTTCCAGCTGGTCACTGAGGACAAAGCAGCCCTGGGCCGGGAGCCGAGCGTATGTACTGAGTGAGCCATAATCCAGACTCCTTCATTCTGTGGCTCAGAGGAATCCACGGAAACTTTATGTCTCCCTGTCACTCTCCACCACTAGGCTATAAATTCCTCCAGGGCAGGGTTATGACATAATCACCTCTGGGTCCTCAGAGCCAAGTTAGAACCTCACAGTCCCAGGCTTACCAAGTGACAAAGGAATTATTAAATGAAGGAGTAAATAAATTAGATAAAGCCAATTTAGCAGGGTAAAAGATGTTGGCCTCAGAAGCATCTTCCCAGAGCATCTGTTGATCATGCCCAGCCAGGCCTTCCCCACGTTGCAGAGATCTTCCCCGATGACTCCCCAAGGTAGCCTCCTCCCCACGACTCGCCCTTTACGCATAATGTGCCCGCCAGCACTCACCGTAGTTAGAAGCTTCCCTGCCTACCCATCTGCTTCTTCGACTGCTGTCTGTCTTGGGAGGGTAAGTTCCAAAAGGGCACAGACTTGTCTGGTTGGCCTCTGTATCCTGAGCACAGTGCTTAGTCTCATGCAAAAACATGTGTTTGATGAGTGAATGAGTGAGTGAATGGAGAATCGTGGGACTAAGTAATGTGTGAGAACATCGGAGTTATGAGAAATGTTAACATAGCTTAATATTTAACCAATTAATATTTGTTGATGGAGGGACCAGGGCACTGCCAAGAATAGTGGGTACCAAGATAAGTAAGACATTGTCTTGAACGTCAAAGAGTTTACAATTTAGTAAGGGCAAAAAGACTCACCTACACTCACTCACAATGCACACACACACAATTCCATTTCAGGAGCTCTTACAATAATGCAAATTAGGACATGGTAACAACGTGAAAGTCACTGGGAGGTATAAAGTGGTCTAAATCCCAAGGGGCTTATTACTGCGCAGAGGGGCTGAGAGCACACAGGTAACTAACACATCGAATGCTAGTTGACAGCAGCCATGTGAATCACAACCTCGTGGACCACAGAAGGAAATGATTATCATCACCCCTTGAAATGGTTCAAAGGCGCCCTTCTTCCTCCCACACTGTGCAAGGGGCAGACGTGGCCCATAACTAGCAGGAAGGTGCTCCTGATGGCAGCTCTGTAAGTAAGCATCCGTGTGC